CCGCTCTTGACTGCAATTAGACATATATGATCCGAGGTATTTTGGCCATTCATTAGTGCTAATTGTTTGAGAAACAAGCCCACAGAACAAATGATTAAAATGTTAGTGCCATAACCAGGATTATTAGCATGTGTGATAAAATGCATGCGCCACAGCTGTACCAATAAAACTCTCCGGCGAGTCACTTTGATTCAACAAATACTCAGCTCGGCTGTGAGCCCTTCGTATTTGCACAAGGCCTGCTGATGTTTATAACAAACAACTTATATCTTCTTTTCTTAATTAGAAAGAATTCCTATGCAAATTGTGGGGCTTTGTAATTTCGTAGAAGTTTCCTCTGTCTTCAATGGATTATTTGTGTGTGGTTGTAAATTACTCCCTAGTAAATTTGACATAGGGAAGTGTTATATTTACTCTGGATTTGTGACGGGGTTTTTTTTGTACATATCAGAGAAATTATTTGTTGGATATTTTGCTGCATTAGCTGCGTTGTGTTCGGAGGGGTCTTAGGTCTTGGGGCACTTCTGTCCCTCTGCCACAGTACCACAGCTTCCCGGGATTGCGGTTGGTATGCAGTTCTGTGCACACAGGTCAGAAACACACATTGTGGAAGTTATCCAGCTTTTTAAATGTTTTTTTTCAAGTCCCTAAGTACATTATTTGGAAACACACTGCCAAGACTGTGCCAAAGATTGTAGAAGGAGAGATATGGCCTCTTGAGCAATGGACATTTTTCCATGTGTTAGACAGATCACGGTGTAGATTCTCTCCTAGCAAATAAAAAGGGAATAGAAGTCTAGGTTAAAGTGTTGATCCTGAAAATAACTAGTGGGGGTACTTTACTTTCTGAGCTATACATCGTTGGCTCCAATGAGACTGCGCAGGTGTGTGCAGTTAAGTATATGTGCGAGTATGAGCAACACTGGAATGTGAAAATGCAGTTTACAGCAGGGAAGTGTGTATAATTCGGGGCAATTTCACTGGTTGCAGTCACACTGTATGGCTGCCGTTGCAAAGTGCAACGTCTCTCAGTAATCAAAAAGGTTTTGTTTTCTCCTTCCTGAGGATAAACTATTTGCTCTTGGGTGAAACAGTTCTCAGAGGATCACAAGTAACTTTAATTTGCCAGCAACTTTTACATATTTGATGAAGACTTTAGTAGAGTGTTATGTTTGCTGAAGAAATTTAGTTTCCTTTCCAAGACCCAAGAGCATTCAGCATGCTGCTAGATGCTATGAATGAAAATACGTTGCTGTAAAACAATTAAAGAGCATTACCCAATAGCCTAGTCCTTGTTTTAACTTACAGTGCTTAAAGGAAGAAACATTGTCTTAGCAAATTCACTTGGCTTATATCCATGCGTTTAGTTTAAAGCATAGTCAAGCTTAGTTTAAATCATTAAAATACTTACAGTCAGGAAACATATAAAAGATTTTCTTCTTATGGCATTGGGTTAACAATATAATTGAGATTGCAGTGCTGTGTGGGATTTTTTGTCCTAAAAAAGTGACTGCTGGGGATGTTTCTATTCTATCCAAATAACAGAAGGCAAGATAATCAGGATAGTGTTTCCTACCAGAGTAACTAACTGCTCTTATACACATCACCCTGGGCCTTACCACTGTTTTAAAAAGCTCAGTAGGCAAATGGATTATTTAGTGAATCCACTTCTTTCTCTACATTTTATTTTATTGTAGAACATAAAATGTGGCTATGCAAGTAAAAGTCACAGTGAGAAAAGATTATTTTTCTTTTAAGAATATATGTCAAAAGCATATGAAAACATTTGCTACAACCACACCTAAGCATACTTGTTGAAAATTCTTCTTTTACATGTATGTTTCTAGAGCTCTTTGTTTTGAAAGGAAAAGAATGCTGTGTTGGATCACTGACACCAGTTCCTCCTGTACTGTTGTTGTTTTTTCCTGACCATACCTCTTGAAAAAATATTGCTTCTTCAACTTGCTAAAGTGTTCTGTAAGACTAATAATTAGATACATTGTCAGAATATTTTTATATTAATCTGTGTCCTGAAACCTAAGGTTTGGGCACATGTGGCTGCAATGTCGATTCGCTGAGGAGGAGAAACCAATAGGTAGTGGGCAACAGTATTTCTAACATGAAGCCTGTGAGGTGATGGTGGTTTTTAATGGATTCAATCTGCCACTGTTTTGGAGTCAGGTGGTCTGCTGGGGAAGCCACGCTTCTCCTCCATCTAAACAAAAGTTCATAGGCCTCAATGGTGACACCTGTCGACATCTGGTCTGAAGGTAACGATGGTTTTACTTACATGATACTACCGGCTGTTGTGTGTGGTATGCAGAACAGTGCTGCCTTGGTGGGGCTTGCAGCAAGTGAGGGGGAACCAGGCTGGTCAGACAGACCTTGGTTCAATGACATTGCAGAAGAAATCCTAGGAAACGTGTGACAGGACATGCATCTCACCTCCGTGTGCTCTGAGATTATGGTGTCAGCCAAGTCTATCAGGTTTCTGTTGGGTTGGAGGGCTGGTGAGAAGCAGTGATTAAGAGTGCTTCAGAGGCTGCTTGGCTCTAGGCTGGAGTTAACTATTAATGGGGTGAGCTCTCTGACTCCTTTGTGCCATTGAGAACTATGGGGTTGAAGCCATCATGGAAAAAGAATAGGAACTAATAACTTTTGTCCCCTCATATATGATAAGTGAAGGTCTGCAGACATCTTTACTGACCTCTGTGTCACACTGAAGAAAGATCCTCCTCTTTCTATTCAAAATAAACCACTCTTCCACCTCCTCCTTGCTCTCCTAAAGTGTACTACAGCAAGAAAATGGGATTAAGTGGATTTAACTAGCAGCCACTTGAGTTGCCACAAGTTGTATTACCATCCCCACTTCAACGTGAAGCGGGGGACATGAAGTGTTTTTTGGGAGAGGGGAAAAGAGGCTACTTAGGAGAGACTCAGTGAATCTCTGTTGCATGTCTCTAGGTGTTGTTCAAGACCCACGCCTTGAAGCTGTTGCAGTTAGCAATTTTAAGAGGATCTATTAACAAGTGTAGCACTGGCACTTGTGATCAATAGTGTGTCCTTGCTGTTTAACAGCAAAGGTGCCCATTTCTTAGGCTGGATTAAGCATTGCAAAGAATAGACTGGCAGCAGATTTTTGTGGGCTTGTAAAGTGAGTCCACGCAGGACACGCAGAGACACAGCAGAGGAGATGGTGGAATAGTTGTCCTTTTCAATTTAGTTTACTGAGATAAAAACTGATAAAAGCTTTCTTCATATTATTATCCCAGGACTTATACTCAACTTTTAGTGTGCCCACTATAGGGAAAGTTTTTTTTAGCTTAGAAAGACAAGTATCATTGTGGTCTGTTGGCGACACTCCACGTTAGCTCTGATTTAGATTGAGCTCATTTCCAAGTGTTTGAGGGTTAGTCACATTCACCTTGAAGCCAGCCCACGTGCATGTGCAGCCATGTGTCATCCAAGTGTAGCAACTTGGGAAGCATTATCCAGAGGGGCACAGGAAAATGCATGGGTCCCTGACGTGATGCGATAATGACATGTTCGGCATGGTGCTAGAAAAGCTTTGCATTATTCCAAGTGCTGAATAATATAAATGATAATGCATCATGGTGTTATATGGTAAGATTATTCTCTGGCATAAGTGACTTGTGCTCTGAATATAAAGGCAAAATACATTATTTTGTCCTAATTTTTGATGTAGCAGAATAGGCCTGGGAAGTACAGCATGAAATGGGGAGGAACAGGAGCAGGGAAGGGTTTAGGTTTTTTTGAAGGCCATGAAATACAGTGGCACCCTCTGCAATTTATTTCTCTGTGCTTGTAATTATGGAGCAAAGCAAGCTCCCTACTGCACTTGAGGGCAGCCTTCCTCAGCAACCTCACCCAGCAGTCCCACTGCCTGCAGCTGCACCAACTCAGCTTGCACCTGCAGTGGGTTAGCTGGTCCCTAACCAGGAATACTGACATAGGGTGGAGACCACCACAAACCTGATGCCTAAGGGCCGTATGGATGCCACCCACACAAGCCATGTGGCACCACAGGCTCACACCTGCACTGAAAGGTGGAGCACAAAGCATGTATACATTTTAAAAGGCACCACAGCCAACAACCTGCTGATGATGCTGGTGGATTTGTGAGCTTTGTCAATGGAAGTCTGTGCTGTGGATCTGAAGGCTTCTGAGAGGGCACGTTGGGATAAGAGAGGTTCCACATTACATGGGGTTTTTGTTACTGTTTTCCTTGTTTCCCCTTTCATCAATTTTGCTTACTTAAAATTTACATGCAAATATGTTTGTTGGTATCATGCTAAGGTTGCAAAATCAACTTCACAGCCCCATGTTTGTTTTAACCAACACTCTTGTTTCATTCATAGCATGCCATCCAGCTCATGGAGCAACCTCATCCCTAAAGCAGGCCTGATCCATCCCCAGCACAACCTCCATCCTATGGAGAAGTCCTATGGGAGGGGAATAACCAACCACCACCTTTCTGTGTTTCGTACTTGCCGTAATGCACAGAATGGGCAGTGTAACGAAGGCTGGATGGATAACCTCAGCCTGGCCATGTCTTCAGTTCTGAGTCTTTACGTTTGCAACTTCTGTTGAACACAGTAGTTGTGGAGTTTCATACTGTAATTAACTGTACTGTTGATACCTCCCTGCCTTGCCTCTTCCTAAGGAAAATATATCTATAAATTACCCCAACCCAGTCACTATTTAGGTAGGAATGTTTCTCTTTTAAAGTATAGCCAAGTATTCTTCACAACATTGTTACCAAGAATCTAATTTCAACAATATCCTTTACAGGGTGGATTCTCCTCTGCCAGCTGGTGTTCCTAAGCTTAGTTATCGCTGTGCATCATCTCACAAGTATGTTCCCAGGCGAGCTGTACTGTATGTACCTGCGGATGATGAGAAGAAGATAAGAAAAATCCCATCACTAAACGTAGATTGTGCGGTGCTGGACTGTGAAGATGGCGTGGCTCTGAACAGAAAGGTAATTAAAAATTATCCGTGTGATATAATCAGCACTAAAGAGAGCTTGTGGAAAAACATTGGGTTTGCCTGGAGGAAGTGACAACCAGAGAGACGAAGATAAATCTTGAGATATACAAAGCAATGTAACAGTGATAGGCTTTGTGAAGGTGTTAGGAAAATCTGCTTATCCAGAACTGAAAGCAATCCTGTGTGAATAAGAGGGGAGGGAATTTTGAAGGAATCCAGAGCTGGATGTAAGCTCTCATCATGTAGGAATAGGAGATACTGTTCATATTGCTGCATATTACTTAGGGAAGAGGAGGAAATGGTCTATGAGAGAGAAGCAGGAAAGGAACAGTTAGTTCGGAATCACCAGGTGGATTTTGGTTCTTGTTTGTTTGTTTGTTTTGGTTGTGGGTTTTTTGGTTTGTTTAAATGAAAGCACCTTTAGATTGTGATCAAAACAGTGAGGGTTTGGGATTGAGCCTGAGGGTGTTTAGAAAGATTTAATTCCTGAGCCTTTTGGAAGAAATGCTATTAGGGGTATTTCTGAAGGAAGGAGATGTTAGAACCTGAGTATACCAGGGTTTGAAGGGTGGTTTAGATTGAAGGAGCTGCAAGAAATTCTAGCTTTGTTGAAGTGAAGTTATGCTACTGGGTATAAGATTTCAAAGAAATTAGGATAGAAATCTGTAAAAGGAACTTGAGATGACATATGAGCCCCTGACTGAGCTTAAATGCAAAAAGGAAGCATACAGAAGGTAGAAGCGGGGACAGGCTACCAGAGAGCAACACAGTGGTCTGGGCAGGTGGGGGCAGAATAACGAAGGTCAAAGGAATGAAAGCTGTTGAGGGATGGACAGGACAACAAGAATGGCCACTACAAGTGCATCAGCAGCAAAACATAAAGGAAAATCAAGAGATGTGTAAGTCCACTTCTCCATGAAGCCTCAGGCTTTACAGTCAGTCTTCTCTCAGGCCTCTCAGATCATCTCCTAGAAAAAACACTTGGGGGAGGGAGGTAAGAGCCACTGCAGGGAAGGATAGAGTTAGGGTCTATTTAAATATGCTTGTTCGTGGGACCAGACAGGGCATACTGAAGGCTGCTGAGGGATCTGGCTAGTGTAATCGTGAAGCTGCTGACTATCATCACTGAAAGGTCATGAGGGCTGGATTCCTGATACCTGAAGTAAGGCAAATGTTACAGCCATCATCAGAAATGGTAAGAGTGAAGAAATATGGGTCCATCAACCTCAATTTAGTCTCCAGAAAAGTGATGGAGCTGGTCCTCATGGAAGGTATTTTAGGATCTAGCCAAGGGCCCAGCCAGAATGTACTGATCAGGGCCAAATTGTGTCAGGCAAACCTGACTGCCTTCTCTGAATAAATTGCTGTCTTTTACTATGAGAGCTGAATAGATGTTGTCTGCCTTGACTTTAGCAAGGCTTTTAACATGGTCTCCTGTCATATCCTGGTCATCAGCCTAAGAAAAAATTGACTGGATTGGTAGACTATGGGGTGATGGCCATTTTGCAGGAAATGGGTGATCCATGCTGGGGCCAATACCATTTAACTTCTGCAGTAACAGCCTGGTTGATAGGACAGAGTCCAGTCTCACTAAGTTCATGATAAAAGAAAACCAGGGTACAGTTGGAGGGCACAGCTTCTCTTCTGATGGGGCTTTATAGTTGGAGGATCAAAATGACAGAAATGTAATAAACATGAACTCCATGCACTGGGCTGGGATAACCCCATGCCCCAGTACAGGCTGGGGGTGTGACTCCCTGGGGGTGTCTCTGCCAAAAACGCCCTGGGTGCTGATTTAGAGCAAGCTGAATGGGGTCATCAGTGTGCCCTTGCAGCAAAGGTGGTCAACCACCTCCAGGGCTGTGCTTCCAGGAAAGGAGTCCCTGCCTTCCACTTTACTTTTGAGACTCTCCTTGTGGGGTGCCTCTGCCCAGCTGTGGAATCCAGGACAAGAGAGAGATTGAGCAACTGGAGAGAGCTCCGGAAGGGCCACCAAGGTGGTCCTGGTGCAGAGGGAGAGGCTGAGGAGCTGGTTTTTTCATCCTGGAGAAGAAACAGCTGAGTTGGGCCTTAATGGAGGCTTTGCTTCCTAAGAGGAGCTGGATAGACAGCAGGGGCAGGCTCTTCTCAGAGGAGCTCAGTGACAGGGCAAGAGCAATGACCACAGATTACATGAGGGGAGAAGCTGGCTGTAGTCTTTCCCACGTAGATGATCAAACGCTGGATGGAGGCTTTGCTTCCTAAGAGGAGCTGGATAGACAGCAGGGGCAGGCTCTTCTCAGAGGAGCTCAGTGACAGGGCAAGAGCAATGACCACAGATTACATGAGGGGAGAAGCTGGCTGTAGTCTTTCCCACGTAGATGATCAAATGCTGGAAGAGGTTGTCCAGAGCAATGGTGCATCCTCCCTCCATGGAGTTATTCAAGCTGGATGAAGCAGGTAGCAACCTGTAATCAAAGTGTAATTCAAAGTAATTGGAAGATTGAATTTCATTTTTAAATCTGCCACTGATACTCAGGAAGACTTAGGTTCTATGCATGTGAAGCTGAAATTATTATTGCTCTTGGAGCTTAATTAATTAATGTTTATGACGTGTTTGGAGAGTTTGAGTGAAAGGCATGTCAAGAACATGCACTGAAGTACAGTATTCAGTGACCCATTGCAAATGAGTCATCTCAAACTGAAAAAAACCAACCCACCAGGAAACATGGCAACACTGAGTCTGTCCTTTAGTCATTATTCTTAAAACAAATAGTACTGATGAATTTGAATATATATTGCTGTGTTTCATGCCATTAAAAATATTACGTATGGAAGTTTTAAACCACTGCAGATACATAGGGTTTAGGGAAAATAAGGACCTGGTTGAAGGTTCACAGTGCCTCAGGGCAAACGGAACTATCTACAGAAGGCCTCCACTTGCATCAAATCCAAGCTGCACATTTCAACCACATCTTAACCAGTCTATTTGAACAAGGTGCTATGTGCTTTGTGTTGCGATTAAGTTAGGTTTGGAGAGATCAATAATCTGGAATGTTGGCAGCTCCATTTTGTTGCTCATTTAGAGAGAAACAAGAAAGATGAGCTTCCTGTAACTTAAGCTAGTAACATCTGCAAAACTGCATCTGATTGCAGTAGCTGTTTTTGAAGCTGGGGCTATAAATTAAAAATCTTTAACTATTTTCTATACAATATTTTCTCTCAAATAAATTTTGGAAAATACCCTCCCATGTGCTTTTCCCCCATGATTATGTTTTGTAATGGCTCACAGAGAGCACCAGAAGAGGGATGCCATACGCATACCTCTACCCTAATCTGTACCATTCTGGTACAGGTACAATGGTACAGATACCATTTTGGTGCCTGTATTTCTTACTTTCAAGAGCTACAGCACTGACCATGATTTCATGTATCATCTGTTCACTTCTCCTTCTTTTCAATGTTTTTTTTCCTATTTGATATTTTGACTAAATCAGAAAAAAAAGAAAAAATATCAAAAAACCAACAAAACAAAACCTTGCAGCAAGAAGTTCACAAGGAGAAAATTTCTCAAAGAATTTTTTCAGGGGAACCAGTGGAAAGATATTATTAAAAAGCAAAGTTATAGTGTGCTGAATACTAAGCCTGCAAGTAAGGTGAGGGCTGATCCTGATGTGAGTAGGCACATGGGGCTTTCGCAACCCCTTTGGGGACTGTAGGAGGTCTTCAAAAATTCAGAAGGGAAGATGATAGAAAGATATCCCGGTGTTGCTGAAAGGTTCAGCCTGCTTCTACAAAATTAGCTTTGGTCTTGCTGAACATATCTTACTAATCATGCTGATCTCAAATCCTGGTTGGGCCTCCACACAATGTTTTTAGACGTTCAAAGGCATAATGTTACATGGTTTGGCCTGTCAACTGCCTCTCCATATGTCTGACTGCATGACACTGGGAATTTCTACAACAGAAATTCAGGTTTTGGTTGGGTCGAGAATTGAATACTACTAAAGCAAAATTATTTTCCCAGAGCTACTATTCACAGTTAAAGATAGGAGCTCTTCCCCACTGATCTGCATGTAAAATTTCTCCAGTATTTCTATACATTTTAAAGAAATTACTCAGAATAGCTTGATTGGTGGTATTTTTAAGTGAACAGTTCAAATGGAAATTCTAAAACTATAAAATTAGAAATAATACAGATTGCAGTGTTGATACATTGGTTTTGGTAGTACAAAAACAGCCTATTAGTTCTTCACAGGAGAAGGCCTAAATATTCTTTCTTTTTAATTGTAAAGAAGAGGAAAAAGATGACTACATCAATGTGCTTCACCAAGACGTATAAGCCAGTAAGCTGAATTGCATGTCATGCTATTGACAAGTCTCTGCATAGGAGCTGAGATACCTGCAGATTTCTGAGGAGCTCTCAACCAAGCCAGCACTCCCTAGTGTAGCTTTCTCTGTAGAGCTGTATTATTTGCTGTGCTTCCATGCCCAGGTTAACCTATTGTTAGAGGAAAAGTTTCCTCCTCCTGCTGGAGAAAGGAAGATTTCTATGCCAGTGCTTTCATTTTCCAAGGGCAGAGTGGGCCGAGATTTCGTTGTTTGTTCCCATGGATCTTGTAAGGCTACCACCCTTACAAGAGAGTTTTCTACAACAGCGTTTTTTTCAACAGGATCCTGTCTACAGTGCTGCTGTTTTTCAGAGCATCCAGGAGATGTCAGCTGCTAGTTCAACCTTGCAAGAGACCAGTTGCAGCTGATAGTCTAGTGTTTAGACTCTTTCTAAGTCCTTGACAAGAGTTTCAGAGCATTTTGATGCTGCCAAACCAGTGCTATCAGTGGCTTTATCTTCTTTGAGGTGCTTAGGACGGTTTTGAATAACTGGGATATATGGTGTCTTATGCTGTAGCTCTCTTTAGTGTGCCATCAGGCCAGGCAGGGCACAATTGCTTCTGCCAAAGATGACCTGTGAAAATTGTCTCAGACAAATTTTGAAGGGGCTAGAATTCAGCT